AATATAAATAAACTTGCGTTGCCTATTAGCGATGTCTTCAAACGTTTGACTCACATGAACTGTTACATAGTTACTTGGTTTCTATCTGGTTTTTACATCAGTTCTCAGAGTTTAAACTAGATTCATCACTCTTTCTTTCACCAAGAGAATCCAGTGTTTTGTTTGCCAAATTTGACTTGCAGGTAGAAAACCTTCGACGTGTTTGATGTGAGGTTGTTTTTCAGGAGACGGGGTCGGTCCATAGTTCCAGTGAAAGGCACTGTTAATGTTTCAGTATACAGAGACATTTTGGACAATTTAACGCTCCCAGCTTTGAGGGAACGGTTTGGGGATGGCTCCTTCCTGTTCAATGACTGTGCACCAGTGCACAAAGCACTGTGGGTCAATGACTTTGGTGTGGGAGAAGTGGAGTCCTGACATCAACCTAAGAGAACACCATTGGGAATAATTAGAGCAGAGGCTGTGAGCCAGGCCTCCAACTAAACCTCGCAAAGGGTGGGTGGACGTCGCATTAACCCTCAGGGATGAAGAACGGGATGTCACTCAATATGCACGTCAGACCACACGAGCAAACACAAACACACCTTCAGAAACATATTAGAACATCGGTGACATGTTCAATATTTTACCTGCTGTAAATTGTGGACGTTTAACTGTATTTTCACAAGTTTCCTACCTGTGGTCATTTACAGTACACCAGTAAATATATCCATAACTTTCCTTATATATACATATATTAGAGGCATTGTTGTGTTTAATCATTTTTTAATCATAAAACTAATTTCACCTTTTCACCAACAGATGGAGTCTTTCCTCTACTTTGTTTTTAGGAGCAGCACACGGAGACATGACGGCTGCTGCTTACTGCTGTAGCAAAATATCGTTTTTTGGGTTTTGCTGAATTGCATTTTATGTGTATTTATACTTTTATATTCACTATTTTAATCTGTGGAATGAATGAATTTATGTGTGCTAGTCTGCTGAAATCCAGTTCCACTGTACAAGGCCCGAGTACAGCAACAATAAAGGAATCCTTATCTTATCTATACTGTAGCTATCTTGTTTGACCTGGATACATTTTCATCCAGAACCTTTGCTTTTATGTTTATGGCTGCACACAGATCGTAGTAAGCTGTATATTAGTTATGTATCAGTCCACTCCTGATGGCACACTTTAAACTTTAATTTTTATTTTTCTGGTATTTGCATGAATGAGATAATTTATTAAGGATTTTTTTCTTAAATGACCGAGACATTTAATACAAACACTGGCCCAGTTACAGGTAACATCTATCTTAAACTCCTGAAAAGCTCTCTTGCGTGTCCGACTGAATCAGTAAACGGAGCTGGACCGAGCTTTTAACTTCTTAGATGACATTTAGGATTTGGCCTCGAGCTCTTGCAGAATTCCCTCCTCTTGTGCATTTCATACATCATATATCATCACATGCTATATATTATATTTCCAAAGCAGAATGTATCCTGAGGGAGGACCTTAGAGTTTTTAACAAATGTAAACATGTGACTGATATCAGGTGTGACTCCCTGCACAGCTGCTGGGACTGTAGGACGCCATTAAAAGCAGCTGGGATTTGTTGCGTGGAAGTAGAGGACGTGTGGTGAGATACGTCTTATATATACAGTAGCACAATCCGAATACTTTTTTCAAGTAAGGAGTAAAGTAAGGGATTACTATTGCAGAAAAAGTAGTTACATTACAGTTACATTCCCGTAAGCACGCTGTGACGTCCGTGGCAGCAACAGACGAGGATACCATGGAGTGATGGAGAGAGTACGACCGTGCAGTGTTTAAAGTGTGGAAGTAATCACATTACTGTGAGTTTGAATCTGTTAAAAGTGACAAACATCAGCGTCTGCTGTTCACTCTGTGGGAACAAAACTTCTTTCTGCAGCGAAAAAATCAAACTTCAAATCTGAGCGTGCAGCGAGCACGCCGCCACGGCAACAGAGAAACCCCCGGACCCCCCCCACTGACATGACCGCTGTGGGCAAACCTCCACCCGCCCCACTCCTGATAAACAGGTGGCAGTAGATTTCAGAGCTGCTGAGTCTTTGATTCTATTGATTTTCTGCTGTGTTTTACTCGCATCTATTTGAAAGAGTGTGAACACAAAACATGATTGATCTGCTGGAACATGCAGAAAACAGGTTTCCATTAAACACATTTCTTCCAGTGTTGCAGATAATTTAATATTTGTTGATGCATAAAGTTAAAAGATGAAACTAATAAAACAAGTTTAAAAAAGATTCAGTTTCATATGATGGATTATGCAGAAACAGTCGAACACGGCTGAAAGATAACACTGCTGCTTTGTTACTTATTCAGGTTGTAAATCATGTTTTTGAAAAACAACTAAGTAACTAAGTAACTAATTACTTTTGAAAATAAGTAATCAGCAATGTAACAGGATTACTTTTTGGAGATGTAATCAGTAATTAGTAATTACTTGCCCAACACTGATGGTGAGGGGTCCAAACTCTTGCACCCACAGGTAGGCCTGCAGTCTGACAGCCAAGTGCTGCAGAAGCACAACACTGAAGTCTTTACATCAGTCGAGCTCTCGTTAAAGATCTTAAATCTGATTCTGGATTTAACGGGAAACCGGTGACGTCCACATGGGAGGACTGTGGTCTCTGTTTGCTAGTCCCCGTCAGACTCTACCTGCAGCGCTCTGGATCAACCACAAGCTTCGTAAGGAAAACCGAACTTCTTTTCCTGTTGGGTCGTTCCATGATCAATCAATCACCTCAGAGTCAGGATATTCAACCTCTGTTTGAAAACTGCAACAAATAATCATTTGCTTCCTGTTTCTATATATATTTCTTTTTTTCTTTGACCAACTTTGAGCATCAGTGTCAGTTTTTATCATAGTTTCATATAAATAGACAGTTTTACATTCACTCAGTTTTGGCTCTCTGATTAATCCAGGGGTGTCCAACCCCAGCCCTCGAGGGCTGGGGTCCTGCAGGTTTTAGACGTGTCAGCTGATTTAAACGGCTGATGACCTCCTCAACATGTCCTGAAGTTTGCCAGAGGTCTGGTAATGAACTCATCACCCAGGGTGAGATCTAAAGCTGCGGGACACCGGCCCTCGAGTTCCCCACCCTGGATTAAACCCAGCAGGTGTACAGAGCTCAGAGCTGATCATCCAGGTGTGTTCCCTGCTAACCCTGCAGGTCGAGTCGTTGCACTGGTTATTTCACAATTTAGACTTTAAAATCACACAAAAAAATAATCAAACCACTTAAACTATACTGAGCTGGTGCTGATGTTGTTCTTATGCTTAGCCTAAAGCTGCACCTCTTCCCGTGTTCTGTTGATGATAGTCACCCAACAGCGAGGAAGTGCGGTGGGAATCCAAATCGTTCTGAACCAACCGTCTACCACGGCACGAAGGAGCAGATGGAAAGCACAGAATGAATTCACAGGTTGGACTTCAGTTCTTCTAGTGTCCCTGCTGGAACCTGCAACTGTGAACCAACTTTCATTTGTCCTCAGCACATTTTCACACGAGCATGAATCCCGTCACATACACAGGAAGACTTTTACTTCTTAAAGCTCTGTTTGGATCAGTCACCATTTATTTATTTTCTAAGTCATCCCGTGTCACTGTCACCTTTTCTGCACCACAGTCAGACTGTGCAGGCTCTCAGTGAGGCCTGTTCTCTTAGCATCACTGTTATTCTAACATCTGATCCTTTATACTGGTTAATGTAAACATACTTTTTATTTATTGTATTTTATTCAACATGAGCAAAACTGACCCAACGTCTTCAACTCCAGGTAATGTGACAATACACCTGCTGCAGAACTTAATGAACCTTGGTGGGGAAATATGGAGCATATGAAATCAACATGGGAGAAGACGCTGATTTAAGCATCCATCATATTTCAAAATCTGCTGTTCTATGGAGCAAAGCATGGCTGAATGTGCCAGGTACCACTCCTCACATACCTATGAGAAACTGAAACAACAGATTTGCTGAATGTTTCGTGGGATGAGTTGAGACTAATCACATCTTTGCTAATTGCAAACGATTGAAGATTTTTAAAGTTATATTTTCTTTAGTTTTTAACTTACATTTTCAAAGACGTTGAGCTGCAGCTCATCTGAGTGAAGCCACAGGTACAGAAAGCTCCCAGTTATTTTAAATTAACCGTGTTCCTAATCCAGTAAAGTGTGAATGTCTTCACCTGCACAGGTCTGGCATGAGGACTCGTGATAACCCTCTGATAGAGCATCAGTAAAGAGCACAAAGAAACAGACGACACAGATCACCCATAAAAAGAGCTGTTTATTTTTGTAAATGTACAGGCACGCCTGGCACGCTCTAACGGTAGCGGTGCAGCTGCAGGGTGTTGCGCCTCTTCCAGGCTGCGTGGCGGGAGCCTCCAATGGTCAGGTGGAACTTGTGGCCCTTACCCAGGCCGCGGCTCTTCTTACCCGCCGATGTCAGGCCACGCATCTCTCTGTGCTTGTGCACCGCTCTCGTGAGCCACTGGGTGTCTGGGTTGCGTCTGATGGCCTTGTGGAAGGTATCGACCAGGATCACCTCGAAAAACTTGTAGGTGGAGTCCTCGCCCACCCAGTAGGAGTTGAGCACTCGCAGGGCACCGCAGTGACGGCCAGCACGCTCCTACAAAATAAAAGTCATGTTTAGTCTTAGCAGGGTAATCACAATCTAAAGCAGTCATTATCTGCTAGCTCCTGTTGGCAACAAGCTTTAAATCCAATATTCAAAACCCACAGACAACGTCAGACCTGCCCGAGCCACTCGCCACACCGCTAACCTTTGTGTGCTCACGTCAGGAAAACAAAAGCAAGCAGCCTTCACCACTGAGAATTCCTCAAACCTCACCAACGCCAGTTTCATTTGGGAAAAATAACTTCCAACCACTGCAACTTCCCATTTCACATCCAGACAAGTTCACTGGATGTTTTCTCCTTCAGAAAACTTTACACCAACATCCTGTGATGTTAGTTTCATTCAGTCAGAGAGCTAGCTGTAGCATCACAGGTAAACGTGATAATGTTATGAAAGCTGAGAGAGCGTGCAGTATTCTTGCTTCTTCCAAAAACAGATGCACGGTTTTTAAAGTGGTGATTAAAGATTGTGGATGAGCCCATGTGCCCACTCATCCCACCAGCTGCATGAAGAGGACCAGTGCAGTTAGTGTTCCCGCAACACTCTCTGCAGGGAACCTGTCCAATCTGTAAGCGGCCAATTTTGTGTTTTACATCAAGACAGAGCACATACTAAAGTAATGCAGCGTCTACGCCACATTTATACAGGACTGCTGAGGGGTTCAGTATATATATATGCCAAGAATATTTTATAACAAACAAACAGGAAGCCAAACACTTTTCATTTCACAGATCACATCATTCTGTAGGTTTCAACACAACATACGAACACTGATGAAAACTATTTGCTGGGTAAGTGGCAACTTTAACATTGTTGATCCAGCATCAGACTAAGCTACTGTGGGCAGTAAAGTAAGGCATCCTTTCATGTTACTAACACAATATTCACATTAATGTAATAAAATGAGTAACAGGCTTCATGATGCTCAACGTCACATTCATCTGACGCTTGGTGTAGCTTCATGAAACCAAGGCTGGAGCAGCAGGTATGAACGTACCTCAGCGATGGACTGCAGGCTGCGGGCGAACTTGATTTGGTTGACACCATGATGCACTGGTTTGCCATAGGTAGCACCTTTGG